ATTTCAAACACAAAATGTGTCAATGGATCCAATTAATTAATCAGACTTCGTTTTCCCTACCAAATTCAAATTCTAATCTTCCCAATTCACAAGTTAACCAAATATGAACCTTTTCGCCAATTTAAGTGTTAAATCAATGTTCCAACTAATGATAAGGCAATAAATTTCGGGCATCAAAATCAATAGAACAAAAACTAGTAAAATATCATCAATTAGCTAAACAATTAAACGCTAATTATTCAACCCTAATTCCAAATTCCAACCTATTCAATGCTATGTATAATACACACGCGTATTCTCTCCTTATTTCTGAAAAGATTACAAAATCATCTTCTTCTTCCCCCACATCCAGGCAAGATCATACGATGTTCATAGAAATAAAACATGAATTCCTCAAATTTAAAACGCAATTAATCAGAAACAATTGAGAAATTAAGAAAGAAAGCTGAGAAATTACCGAAATCAAATTAGGGTTTCCGAGGCGCTTGAGAATGGAGACGACGGAAGCGAGCGCGAAGGCCGAGGATCAGCAAAGATGAAGGGGGAAATGGCGAAAAAGCTTGAGGTTTGAGCTTTAATGGCGTCTAGATGAAGAGAGGGAATTGATGAGGATGAAAAAAGGGAAAGAAGGCAAAGAAAAAAAGTGTCGGCCAAATTGAAGAAAAAGGATATTGCATTACTATTTTTTCTAATTTAAATTCTATGGTTTATATTAATTCTCACAATTGAAATTTACGGATTTTGACCTTTTTTTTTTTTACTTTATTAAATTTTACCAGCTATTATTAATTACCTTAGAGCGGACCTAATTTTGGAGAGTCCTTCACTCCTTCTCAAAACAATCCTAATGGGAATGAACTCGACTATAATGGATAAATAACAACAATAATCATTTTCTATTATCTTCTGATACTCCTAAGTCCTTATCCTTGCGTATATTATGAATAAACTTGAACATACACTTTATAGACTTTGTTTTTTGAAAGACATATCCAAGTGAACTTGAACATACACTTCAGACATCCAAGTGATCATTATGAGTTTATGACACATGAACTTCGTGCTTTGGATCTATCTAGTTCAAGAAATATTAATGCTTCGATGATTACAGATTAACATAGTTGGTGCAATTGTAAATCCTAATTCCTAATACGTAACACATATTACTTATTTGCACAGTAGGACAATTTAATATTCCTTAGGATCAATATAAGGGGCCGTTTGGTTCACCCGGGGTAAACGGAATGGAATGAACAAAGGGAATGGTAGAGAATGGAATGAAATTACCTAATATTCTCTATGTTGTTTGTTTTAAAAATAAAGGGAAACAATCCCATCAACCCACCACCACACAACCACACACGTTCCACCTTTTCTAGCCACCATCCGACCACCAAACCACCAGCCACACCTTCGCCGTCTTTCCCCTCACCGTCGCCTCCCATTCGCCGGCCTCCACGCAACCGTTTCTTCCCCGGAGATCAACCCCGAAAAACCTTAGAAACTCCCCTCCCCCGAAAAACATCATTCACTCCCCGAGGGCGCGGCGACGCGGCGAGGGGAAGGGAGGCGTGGCGACGCGGCGAGGGGAAGGGGAAGGGAGGCGCGGCTGGTTGTGAGGGGAGGGGAAGGGAGGCGCGGCTGGCTGTGAGGGGAGGGGAAGGGAGGCGCGGCTGGCTGTGAGGGGAAGGGGAAGGGAGGCGCGGCTGGCCGTGGTGTGGTGGTGCGGGTTTCCGATGAGTTGAAAAGGTGGAAGGGTGGTGGTATGGTGGTGTAGTGGTGGCCAAGGAATGGGAATGGGAAAGTCTAGGGGGGTGAGGAATGGAGTTGGAGGGATTTTGGGGAATGAAGAGGGGAAAGGGAATGAAAAATATGGTCTAACAAACAACAACAAAGGGAATGGGGGCAGTTGATTCCCATTCCCTTTGATGATTAACCCCAATCAAACGGCCCCTAAGTTTAAGGGTTTACTTTACACAATACAAATGAAAACTGTATCATCATTTTTTGTTTAAAAGGTAATTAATACTTTTCTTATCACCTTACATTTTTACAAGTGTCTTTTAAGATTATGCATACTTATTAAGAAACTATCAACTAACTACATTTATGATAATTTTTTTTTGAGAAAACTAGCTTTCATATCACACACACAGGCCATGTTCTCTTCACCTTCAAAAAATAATATTAAGTAAAAATAAGTTCTATTCAGTAAAAATAAGTTCAGTTCAGTAAAATTAATTTCAGTTCAGTAAAAATAATTTCAGTTTAGTAAAAATAAGTTCAGTTCAGTAAAATTAATTTCAGTTCAGTAAAAATAATTTTAGTTTAGTAAAAATAAGCTCAATTCAGTAAAATTCAGTTTTCTTAAAGAAGAATTATAACAGAAAATCAGTAAAAATAATTTAAGTTCAGCAAAAATAATTTCATTTCAGTAAAAATAATTTAAGTTCAGTAAAAATAATTTAAGTTCAGCAAATATAATTTTGTTTCAGTAAAAATAATTTCAATTCAGTAAAAATAGGGTGAAGAGAATGGGGCCATAGTATATTGGCATATAGTCCGGAATATAAAATGATAAAGATGTTGGTTAAGTAGTTTGCTACTATAATTATTTAGAATGTGTGTTTACATTTTGTTGGGAAAAAGTAATGAAAGAAATAAAAAAGAAATTTTAAAAAGATATTGGTCTCCAGTCTCCAGAAGGACCTGGACTATTGTAGTACATTGTGGTGGACTTTGTACCCGACCTGATCATGCAGATTGTTTTGATTTTGGGCCTCTGAGTCCATCTATTTTAAGCACGGCCCAACTAATTCTAAAAGAATTCCACTGAAAACTATGAATAGACAAAAAACCAAAAAAAAAAAAAAAAAAAACACTTGATTTCATGTGACTATATTTTTTTAAATCACCAATGCTAATCAAAGTGAAGCAAATGAATACTACTATAGAGCAAAAATCATTGAGAGGAATCGAACAATATCCCATAAGACTCCTTTTTTTCTTGTCTATTTAGATATTGCATTTTGTGGCAATGTGGCTACATAAAGAAGTACATGTAAAATGTTATCCTAAAAAATAAAACAAAGAGCAACCATCTTTGTGTTCAAATAAAATCTTCTAATAATAAGTTAAAACTATCAGTCTATCACCACATCGAAGAGTACAGTAGAGGTTGTAGAGCGTAACTATTTATAAAGTCATAAGTTTAGTGAGGGCATGTTCTCTTCAGCTTTATTTAAGTTCAATTCAGCTCAGTTCAGTTCAGTTCAATTCAACTCCTAATTTCCTTCTCTCATAAAATATTTAGTTTAGTTCAGCTCCAATCAGTTCATTCAATTCACTTCAGTTCAGCTCAGTTCAGTAAATCAGAACAGGTCCTGAGTTAGGGCATGTTTACTTTAATTAGTTCAGTTCAATTTAGTTCTTAATTTCCTTCTCTTAGCTCATAAACAATTCATTTCACCTCTATTTAGTTTAGTTAAGTTGGTTCCAGTAAATTAAAACATGCCCTTATGTCACCTATTGACTTAGAATCGGCTTAGCCCAGCAGTGATCCAACAATTAGAACAAACAAAGAAATATTGGACAGCATTAATTTATATGGACCATTTATTGGAACATATAATTATATTCTCATCCAAACTACATGGTGCTGTTTGACATGAAAGGTAGTAATTTTTTTAATCATTTAATTTATTCCCATTAAGTTTTACATGGATTTATTGAAATTAGTAGCAACTCTAGATTTCATATGAATGCATTATGGTAATGCAAAAGTTAAGAGAACTTATAGGATTAGCTTTACTCGTACAATTCAACTCTATTGTTTGGTTGATGAGATGATACTTCTTCGTAGGTTTAAAAACTTAATATGTAAGATACAACTATATATAAAAGTATCATCTTTAAATAAATAGCAAATTGATTTAAGAGAATAAGTAAGAAAAATAAAACATTAAAAACTAGTAAAGTAGTGGCTATATTATCCGTACCAAAATACCTTGTATATTAATTAGACTAATATTTTTTTGTAAAATTAAACAAAAATTAAAATTATGATCGACTTGTATGAAAGGTCGATGATGCCATTAACACTATATATGGAATGAAGATCCAACAAGCTATTATTTCAATTTAAGAAAAAAAAGTTCGAATATTACACCTCATTATTTAAAGGCCTGTAACAAAAGCAGGACGAATAATTCGTTCACTACAAATAATCGTCACACGTATGGTAACCACTCAAAAGCATCTCATAAACTAAAAACTCAATTTCATTGGTTAAATTACTAATTAACTAATTAAGCTAGCTAGGAATTTATAAATCTAGACCTATGATGATTAGTAATGGTGTTATGAAACGCTATTCAAAGTTGACAAAATCCCAAGTATATATGCCATGAAAGGAATTGCACAATTAGCCATGCGTCTAATTACAATTGGCTACACAAAGATTAGCACTGTAATTAGTACTAATAGTAGAATTAACTAGAAGATTAAGGGACCCATTAACTAACTTTAGTACAACTTAAACTTCAAAAAAGGAAATGCTTTGCCCCCAAATAGAGTGACAAAAACTACTATTCAAATGGGTTAATTTATGCAATGTAATCAGACACTAGGGTTTCCCACTTAATTGGCTTTTTAGGTATGGTTTTTAGTCTTTTACTTAAACCCATTACTAAACATACTTACTTGGACAAATGTCGACCGCCCATTCGTGTACTTGTACTAATTTTTTATACTACATTTTTTGACTAATGGAAGCATTATTTCATGCAAAATGAGAAGGATGATTTGAAGGAGTAGGGGACCATTGTTGTGTTATGGTAGATAAGCATTTAAGCAGTACAATTGTCGGAACTCGCCTTTCTATTAGCCAATTAATTATTTTTTAATAATTAATTCATTTTTTAATTAATTTGATTTTAAATTGAATTAATGTCTAGTTAAATTAAGTGAATTTAATTGTTTTTATTTAATTTTAAGGGGTACGGTTCATACATAGATAGAAACCCTAAGAATTGTCAAGTATATATAAATCTTAAGCTAAGTTTGAGAGTGCATAATGCCTAGAGGGCTAGAGGTGATTATATATTATTCCAACTTGTTTATCTACTTTTTTTTTTCATTATTCATTCTTCAAATTTTCATCAAATAACATGATTATGGCTTATCTATTATCTATCCATCAATTCCATTTGATCCTTCTAGATCAAACAAAGGTGAGTTTTCTTGAGTTATATAGATCTATAAAGTTTGGATGTATGTATGTGTATGTACTTATATTGCAAATGTTGTTGACTAAGAATTTAAGCATCAAGTGTTTCCTATACTTGGGCCGCTTTACTTTTTGTCAATTTGTTTATACCAAGGAATTTATACGCTCAAAAGTTTTTAATAAACTTATTAGGGACCATTTTGAATAATTTATTATCCACTTGTATGACGTGGATGAACATTCTATATTCTGTATCATTCTATATATGTATGTATCTATACACATATACTGACAGTTGTAGCGATTAGGAAAGAGTTGCTACAGTGATATACAGTGATAAATTACAGAAGCGAATTAACCAATCTTGAAATTATCGATTCAATTTGTAGATCGATTTAGATCTAGCTAGTCGATCAATCTAAGTAAATTAAAATGGTAGATGAGACAGATAGGTTGCTACCAATAGCCAACGTAGGAAGAATCATGAAGCAAATACTCCCCCCATCAGCAAAGATCTCCAAAGGGGCTAAGGAAACAATGCAAGAGTGTGTAACAGAGTTCATAAGCTTTGTGACCGGGGAGGCGTCCGATAAGTGCCACAAGGAGAACCGAAAGACGGTCAATGGAGACGACATTTGTTGGGCTCTAAGCACTCTAGGGTTTGACAACCATGGAGAGGCAATAACTAGATACTTGCACAAATATAGGGAGTTTGAAAGGGAGAAAGCTTGCCAAGGCAAAGGCGGCGAAGAAAGTGGAGTAGTACTACTTGGTGTTGTAGGTGGCCGCGGTAGCAGCAATAGTACGGAAGAAAGAGATCTTGATGAAGAGACAGCAACAAAGTTTGGAAGTCATGGAGGAGGAAGGGATCATCATCATCAACTCGATGTCGAAAATTCGGGTTTTCCCTTGGAGTTTAGAATCATAGATCCTAAGGGTAAAAGCCCTTTCAGAAACAACAACTCATCTTAATTGTAAAAGCTAAATCATAAGGTAAACTACTGCCAGCATACTTAGCTTATTTAACTACTAAATGATTTCTTCCTTTAATTAAATTAAGCTTGTTGATTTACTCATTAACTTTTATTAGTTCACATGAAATGATCAAATTAAAAGAGCAAGATAGATGTTAATGTAAGACTAATGATTTTCTTAAGAAAAATAATCTGATGTAATCTTTATTAGTTTCAGTTTATTATTATATCTACATATATATGTACTACTTTGTTTATAATTTGAGAATAAGAAATGTATGTGGTAACTGGTAAGCAATTAAAACACACTTAAAAAGTGCTCGAATCATACCGAGTTTAGTTGGTTCTGAACTTATAATCTAATCCCTGATGATGTTGATATAATTGATTTAAGGGCTTGTAATAATATTATTTGTTTCTAATTGTATAGCATATATATGTTGCTTGCTCTCCTAATCAGTAGCACACAATCGCGTTTGAATCTATAAAACAAACAGCTAGCAAGAACAATCGAAGCCTTAAAACACATATTTGCGTTTAAATCCAGGCCATAAAACTAAGGGCCTGTTCACTTCAGCTTAATTTCAGTTCAGTTCAGCTCTAATCAGTTTAGTTCAATTCAGTTCAGTTTGCTTCAATCAGTTCAGTTCAGTTCAGTTCAACTCCTAATTTCCTTCTCTCATAAAATATTCATTTCATCTCTATTCAGTTTAGTTCAACTTCAATCAGTTCAGTTCAGTTCAGTTCAGCTCATTTCAGTAAATGTGAACATGCCCTAAAAATTATTAGGAGTAAGAGAGGTACGAGTTATAATCTTAGGCTTACTTCAATCTCTTCCATGCACTAATGTACTTGTATAAGCTAGTGATAGATGCACACTAACAGAATTAACTAAAAAAATGATATGATTCAATTAGTTCATTCAATTGATGTTGTCCATAGAATAGTTCTATACTAGAATTTAGTTCAATTAGCCCTTTTGTACGGTTTAACAAACTTTAATTTCTATTTGAATCATTAAATCTGTAATTTATGTATCTTAATCTCAATGTATATAAATCAACATTCACCACGTATAATGTTATTGGTAATGATAAATCTGTTACATTTCAATGGCTAAAGCTACGCTAGCTCTTGAATCTCAACGACTTATTAGTCATTATATTTACACTAAACAACTTAATACGTACATGTAGACATTTATTTCTTTTTATTACGATTGTTTATGACTTTCCAATCGTAGCCCCATTGTAAAAACTTCTCATACCTAAATCATCTATCGATAAAAAATCTATACTAATATATTAAAAGACGTTTGTAACAATGTTCACGTGTCACGTAAGCTCCCCTCACTACGCCATGTCATCCATTTAAGTACTCAAAACGCCACGTGGCTCTCTCCTCCATTGATTTTCAGTACATGTCATACACTCATAATAATAATTAAAAATAAGTTCTCCACATGATTTGAACTCGCAACTTCTATTTCAAGAACTAAATATCTTACCACCAAGCTATGTGATTCTTTATGTAATTTTTTGTATACAAAATATTAATAACTAGCAAATGACAATATGAATAACAAATTTTATTACAAGAAAATTAAATCATAAATTACAATGTATATTAATGATCAATTAGTTTCATGTAATAACCCGGGGCATCGTCCGGGCCCAAAAACTAGTAAGGATAAGTAAATGGGGCTATGGTTGCAAATAAAGTCAGATCATCCCCTCACAAGCCTCAGAAGTCAGAATCATCCCCTTTAATTTAATTTGCTCAATAATTAATTATGCTGATTATCTCCATGTGCTTTAATAGTGTTACGGAGTAACCTATGAAATTAACTAGTCTCAAAATCAATTAATAATGCATTACAATACATTCAACCTAATCAAACTGTTTTTCAGAAGTAATTAATAAATTCAAATTATGTGGTTAAGCACTTAATCATCATACACGAATATTGGATTAGATTACTTTTGTTGATGAGTGAAAATTGCAATGTTTGTGACGTATTTATTTCATTTTATGATCAGTTTGATAAGTTATGTCGATGATTAATGAATTTCTAAATTATTGGAGTATTTTAGTACACTATTCTTTCAAGAATTGGAAAACAACAAATTAAATATTTTAAGATTTTAATTTAAAGCTTTGAAATTATGTTTGGTAACTTAACTATATACTCTTAATCCAACAAAAGAAATTAAATTTCATTTAATTCACCCTTTTTCACAATTATTACTTCAGTCTCTTAGTACAGTACACTTCATCCGCCTCTATGTGTTTTTTATATTGTCTCATAAAAAAGTCAATGTAGAACTTATTTACAGACGTAAGAAAGATAATTAAGTCACTAAAAACCAATTATTCAACTTTTAAAAAAAAAAATTCCACTTTGTATAAGAGAAGAATGCCCACATTATTATTAGTTATACGATTTTTTTTTTATTGTTATTGATTATTTATTATTTTTTTACAAAGTTATATGAAGTTAGTCTAACAATAGTTTGTTGCTTTGTTTGTTGTGGGAAGAGCCAAAGAGGAGCCTTTAGATTTGATGAAGTGGGATATCACCCAAAAAAAGGAGATAAAAAGAGGGGCTGTTTACTTGTATATGACTTATAGAGCACTAACTAACATAGACACACATAATAATTAAGTGTTAAATCATCAATTGCATACCATTCCTTCCAAATTATTTAGGATTATTATATATACTTGTTATGACCCAACAATCTACTTTATATTAGAAAAGGCAAAAACTTGTTTAGATACAAAGGGCTTAGTCACCAAATAACCTAAAAGACAAAATTACAAATGAAGAATGAATTTAAATTTATGTGATTAGGAGTGACTAAATTGGCTTGTATATGGAGTTGTATCTTATAATCCATTGTATAATATTAATTAGAAATCGAAATTAAATCCTTTCACGTGTAGTAGGAGAAATCATAATAATAGACTCTGATCTTATATCAATGATCTATTAGTAGAAAACTACTATTTATAGATCAATAAAAACTACTGATCTTGTGTCTTATGACATATATAGCCTATTTCATTTCTATTTTAAAAGTAGTATGTAAACTCTATATTAGGCCATGTTCTATTCACCTTATTTTTCAGATAAGTTCAGATAAGAAATGTTCAGGAAAAATAAGCTACCAAGTTTAATTTATAACTAAAATAAGTTAAGATAAGTAAAAATCAGGTGAAAAGAACACATCCTTACTATGTAAATAAAAAAAAAAAACTTATTCGTGTAAGACATAACTAACTCATTGTTAGATAAATACGTTATATATTTGTGTGTATTGTTGGTGTTCAATGATGTTTTTTCTTTGCATTACATCCATGATCCATTATATTGTAAGAATTAGATAGCAAATCTGATTTGACTAGCATATTAAATTAATTAAACTTGCTTTGTATAAACTTTGTCGGAATTTTTGTAGTTATGACACAGCAGCTAGCTAATTGGATTCTTACTTTAAGAGGCGATTGGCCTGGTTACATTGTATGTATACCGTACTTTCTTTTGAACAACCCACTATTTATCAATATGTTTCTCTTATTTAACATATTTGAAGAAGGCTGAATTGAAGGAAATAAGAGGTCTCATAAGATTTGTCCTAAATTTCAAAGATATATATGAAACAGGAAGCGATGTCATTACTCTATCGCCTCAACCTAACTTTCTCTTCTAATACTTACTAGCACAAGCTCCTTTTATGCATGCTCGGGTATAAACCTAGAGCTAGATGTGCTCACATTTATTAACTGCATGCTTGTTTAGGGTCATCCAAATTAACAAATACAGAGTAATTAACTATGAAGTACGTACATTGTATAATAATAGGTATACAAGTATATGGTACACCCACATAAACTCAAAATAATCATGCTCCCATCCTTCATTTGTGGATCGGAAACCAAAACAATTTTTTTAAATAAGACTGTCTTATTATCATAAGACCATTTTGTAGATGAGTAGAATCAAGGTTAAAGAGAAATTGAGATGTATAAGAGTACATGTTTGAAGTTACTCACAAAAGTGATCTTATGATAGTAAGACGTCTAACATAAATAATGTTTCTCAATAGATTATCAAGAACTTTTTCGTACTTCAATTCGTATTTATTTCTTAATCTATACAAGTATAAAGAAAATCAATTAAAAAAATACAAATCAACTTACATATTGAAAGTACAGTCTAAGCAGCCTTATGAGGCTCCCTTTATGGCTTTGTGGTCCATCTCCATGTGATCTACCAATCTCTTAATTAACCAAATTAAAATTAATTAATCAAAATTTAATTAAGTTTAGTGCTTCTAACAAGGGAGTCTTAACCCTAAGCCATAAGAAATTTGGGACCATTTTTTATCAACTTTATAAAACCATGATTTATTGCGAAAATTTCACCCATCATATCAGCAAAATGTTCCCATTTTATTACCCTTCCTAATTAATTAAAGCTTAATTATTAATTTCTTCAATATCAAAAGAAATTTTCCCATCATCACCCATATATACCAAACTGACAACTGAATATCCTTTTGTTTATTAATTATATAATTAAGTTAACTATAAGTACAATCCTTACTAGTTACTGTACTAATTATTATAGCCAAAAACAATCAATTAAGATTAGGGTTTATAATTAAAATCATGAAATTTAACATAGGTTTTTTTTTTTTGGTTCAAGGGACCTAATATCACCAATATTATCATCTTTGATTTAATAAATAACTTTAATTTTTTTTACCATTTATTTTGTACTTGAAAAGCCATATCTCTTTGGCTTTAATTTGCCTTTTATTCTAAAACAATGCAAAGGTATGAAATAACTCCTTTTCATGTTGACACAGCATGCTTGGAAGTACAATGAGAGTAAAAAGCAAGAAAAAGGTGAAATTAGATGCATGTATTATACAATTTATCTACATGTCTACCAATGCATATTGTACTACATATTCATATACAATTAAGTATATGATTGATTAATTAATAATTATTTGCATTTTATAATAATTATAATTTTGGATTAATGGTTTTCAATTTAGTTAATTAGGGCAAGGAATAATCCTGGCATCAACCTTGATTAATTCATTTGCTTCAACGCATGGCTCGTTGGCAATGGTGAAATGTACTTATTAATTTTTGTTGTAGTCAAATTACTATGTATAGAGGTGCTATTTTCACTCATGATGCACCTATGTTTCCAAGACATGAAGTCATCTTGTCTGGAAATCTCCTAGAAATTCTATTTGCTAGGGAGGTGCATCCCTTTGCATTGCCAAGAGCAAACTAAACTAAAACCTAGGATTGAGATTTAAATGGTTTCCATAA